AGTGATTTTTGTTATTTGAAATAAATTGTTTTCAAATGGTATATTTGAATTATTAATATTACATTAGATTAGAAACATAAAGTATTGACTCAGTTATGTTAGTTTAGGTTAGGTAAGATAGGTTATGTTAGGTTAGGTAGGGTAGGTTAGGTTTGGTCATATATCTACGTTAGTTTTAACTCAAATTATAAAATGAACTCATACATAATAAAATGCATAGCGTTATCAATTTATAAGAAAATTTTATAAAAAATATATAAAATCAAGAAAATTTGGCTTATTAGGCAAATCGGGCCTTGCATAGTAGGCCTAGAAGTGAGTTCTGGCTACTAGGTACAACATATATATATATATATATATATATATATATATATATATATATATATATATATATATATATATATATATATATATATATATATATATATATATATGTCGTACCTAGTAGCCAGAACGCACTTCTCAGCCTACTATGCAAGGCCCGATTTGCCTAATAAGCCAAGTTTTCATGAATTAATGTTTTTTCGACTACCTAACCTACCTAACCTAACCTAACCTAACTTTTTCGGCTACCTAACCTAACCTATAAAGATAGGTTAGGTTAGGTTAGGTTAGGTAGGGGTGGTTAGGTTCGGTCATATAACTAAGTTAATTTTAACTCCAATAAAAAAAATTGACCTCATACATAATGAAATGAGTAGCTTTATCATTTCATAAGAAAAAAATTAAAGAAAATATATTTATTCAGGAAAACTTGGCTTATTAGGCAAATCGGGCCTTGCATAGTAGGCTGAGAAGTGCGTTCTGGCTACTAGGTACGACATATATATATATATATATATATATATATATATATATATATATATATATATATGTCGTACATATATATATATATATACGACATATATATATATATATATATATATATATATATATATATATATATATATATATATATATATATATATATATCGATAGTTGTACCTACTATCTATAAGGTAGACAGTTGGTGTGGGACTACACTTGCACTTCAACCTTAGCCAACACCTATGTTAACTTCAGAGCTGCACAGGCAGGAGGTGCTGCCAATCACCGTGAAGCAGCCAACTCACGTAAATACGGAGACCTTGGTCACCACTACAATTTTATCCCCATTGCCTCAGAGACACTTGGTGCCTGGGGTAAAAGTGCAAGTTTTTTTAAGGAATTGGGGTCCAAGCTAATTGAAACAACTAGAGACACTAGAAACGCCAGTTTTCTCTTGTCGTTTTATGTGCAGGTATGTTGACGACATTTTTACACAGGTATCTGATGTCAGACATCTGCAGGAGCTGAAGGAGGCATTTGAGCGGAATTCTGTGTTGCGTTTCACTTACGAGATGGAGAAGGATGGGAAGCTGCCCTTTCTAGATGTAACAGTCATGGAAAGGAGCGGAGGTTTCCACACTGCAGTCTACACTAAGGAAACAAACATAGCAATGTGCCTCAATGCCAACAGTGACTGCCCAGACAGGTACAAGAGGAGTGTCGTTAACGCTTATGTCGACCGTGCTCTCAGCCACAGCTCAGGATGGAAGCAAGTCGATGAAGAATTCTGTAGGGTAAGGCAGGTCCTAGTCAACAACGGCTTCTCCAATGGTTTCGATGAAGACATCATAAAAAGGAAGGTGAAACGCCATGCAACCTCTGAAGAGACAACTAACACAACACCTGTACCCCATAATAGACTATTTTACAGGAACTTCTTTTCCACAGCTCATAAAACGGAGGAAAGGGTCCTGAAAGATATTGTTAATAGAAACGTTATCCCTACAGACAAAAATCAGAAGATACAATTGACGATTTACTATAAAACCAAGAAAACGGCCAGCCTACTCATGAGAAACTCTCCAGACACAAAGCAGAACGCTTTAAAAGAGACCAATGTCGTCTATGCCTTCAAATGCCCACTTGGGGACTGTAAGCCTCAAAGAATTCAGTATATAGGCAAGACAACAACATCTCTTTCCAGGCGATTAACGATGCATAAGCAACAGGGCTCCATTAAGGAACATATAATCTCTTCCCACAACCAGACCATCACCAGAGAAGTCTTAACAAAAAACACGGAAATCATCGATAGATAAAGCGATAGCAGGCGGCTTGATATCTGCGAGGCACCACGCATTAAGAAGTCGACACCAGCAATCAACAGCCAATTAATGCACAACTATATTCTACCCACTTTAAGACTCCGCACCAATATAGAAGCATAAAAAAATATGGGCCAATAGGCCCTTTGCAGTTACTTCCATTCTTCCCTTTAACTTACAAAATATTATACCCATTGTTTCGTGTTCTGTCTTGTGTTGAAAGTTTGTTTTCACCTCATCCAAAACTGTTGTAACATATCACCTCACCCAAATGCAAGTATAAAATCAAAGCTGTTTAAACTCTGTTTAGTGTTTGCAAGTTATAGTTGTGTGTGTGTAAACTAAAGTCTTTGAAAATGTAATTAGGTATTACGAAACGCGTTCAAGTGTCGCGTCAGACAAGAAATAAAAATGAATTTTGGAGAATTGATTTTTCAGTTACCATCAACAGTGAAAAGAAATATAAGAAATATTGAGAAAATTCGTGTTAGAATTATTAATCATACTTTTTCGGTCATATTTAATAATATATGTCTAAAGGAAAGACTGCTACCAAAATATACTAATATATATATATATATATATATATATATATATATATATATATATATATATATATATATATATATATATATATATATATATACACATATATGGGTACCATCTCCCATCTCTGGAGCAATTGTAGGGACCCATAGCCTCGAAGAAGAAAATATTTAATTAACTCCAAGATCAAAATTCAAGTTATCAACGATCGTTCTCGTAGATTATATTACAAAGAGCACTAATCATATGAAAGAGGAATTTCAAAGAAGTTATTGACACTTATGGTCCACTTGGCACAACTTTAGCAACACTTTGGGGGTCCACTTGACATAGACGTAAAAGAGTGTTTGTATGTGTGTGTTGACCAGCCCCGGGAGTGTTGGAGGGTGTCTCGCCCAGCTGGCAATAATGGAGACAAAGGGGGAACTGGTATTATTCCCCCCCCCCCACCAACCCACCCACCCACCCCCCTTGGACCCGCCCAGACCCTGCTTCCTGCCTCTGTCGGGAAACCCCTAATTGTAAACCTGTATGGGAACCTTTGTTTTTAAACCTCTGTTTGAAGCCTCGGCCTGTGAATCTCTGCTTGGACACCATTGTCCCGGCAGCCTTCACTTCTGATGGTTTGAAGACGAACCGGTCCGGAGAGTAGCCAGTCAGTTGGAGAGTAAACCACGACAACACCACCTGTGTTGGAGAGTACACCACGACAACATCACCTGTGTTGGAGAGTACACCACGACAACAACACCTGTGTTGGAGAGTACACCACGACAACACCACTTGTGTTGGAGAGTACACCACGACAACATCACCTGTGTTGGACAGTACACCAACACAACACCACCTGTGTTGGAGAGTACACCACGACAACACCACTTGTGTTGGAGAGTAAACCAACACAACACCACCTGTGTTGGAGTGTACACCACGACAACACCACCTGTGTTGGAGAGTACACCACGACAACACCACCTGTGTTGAAGAGTACACCACGACAACACCACCTGTGTTGGAGAGTACACCACGACAACAACACCTGTGTTGGAGAGTACACCACGACAACAACACCTGTGTTGGAGAGTACACCAACACAACACCACCTGTGTTGGGGAGTACACCACGACAACAACACCTGTGTTGGAGAGTACACCACGACAACACCTGTGTTGGAGAGTACACCAACACAACACCACCTGTGTTGGAGAGTACACCACGACAACACCACCTGTGTTGGAGAGTACACCAACGCAACACCATCTGTGTTGGAGAGTACACCAACGCAACACCATCTGTGTTGGAGAGTACACCAACGCAACACCATCTGTGCTGAAGGGTTTCCATTCATCTCACGTTTAAACCCCGCCTCACACATCAATCTATGCCCAACAGATTCCAACAGGAAAAATCCACTAGAGCCGTGATGAGGGTTCGAACCTACGCGCTGGGTGTTCCCAGATGCACGCTCTAGTCGACTACGCCACAATATTCTTTTGACCGTGTCGTGGAGTATACCTTTCACTATCTTCCCCTGGACGGTAGAGCGACGGTCTCGCTTCATGCAGGTCGGCGTTCAATCCCCGACCGTCCAAATGGTTGGGACACCATTCCTTGACCCCGTCCCATCTCAAATCTCCATCTCCTGACCCCTTCCAAGTGCTATATAGTCGTAATGGCTTGGCACTTCCCCCCCCCCCTAATAATACCCTTCACCACCTTCCTTACTCTTCTCCGCCTTCCTTATCCTTTACCGCCTCTACTTTTTCCCTTTTTCTCTTCATCTCTGTAACCATTTTCACTAAGCACTGTCTTCACCAATAAGTAAACTCTATAGGAAAGATTAACATTTAATCATCACTTAGAGAATAATACGCCAGGTGAATGTTGGTGAGGAAGAAGTCTGGTATTCAGCGAGATTGGAAATTAGTATCAGTTGCCATTTTTTCAGGGTAAGTATATGGCAAGAGGGGAGGTGTGGGTGGCAAGGGGGGGGGTGAGGGGAGAGGAGGTGAGGGAAGAGAAGTGAGGGGTAATGAGAGGTAAGTAGAGAAGTAATGTACATCATGTGTGGGTTGGATTATTTGCCTAGACTCCGTTTTTGTGATATTTCTCAGTTTACTCACTCATGTATATCTTTAGTTTATATATCTTTCATGTATCTCACAGCCATAAGACCAGGTATAATTTCCTAGTCCCAGAACATCGAGTCTTATTCAAACTGCTCCGCCACTGTGAGTTACATGATCGAATACAGAATGTGTCAACTATGAGTGAGTGTGAGGTGTATTAATGAGTGATACTGAGGAGAGTTTTGTGTTGCAGATATCCGGCATGCCAGACGCTGGTCCCATCCTGCCTCGACCCGACCTCACCCTACACCACGCCCCGCCCTCGGCCAAGTTCCGTGACCCGCCCTCGGCCAAGTTCCGTGACCCGCCCTCGGCCAAGTTCCGCGACCCGCCCTCGGCTAAGTTCCGCGACCCACCCTCGGCTAAGTTCCGCGACCCGCCCTTGCGACCTGCGCGCCTGCACACACGCCCATCTCTCAAGTCCGTGCCGGAGGAGCGGTCTGGCAATATGCACCGCTGGAGTGCACCCTGCGACACATCCTTCACTCTGCCGCAATGTGGGGTGCCGGGAGCTGCCTCCACCGTACGGCACTCCAGAAATATATCCCTGAGAAGATATAATTCCCTTCGCTCACGGACCTCATATTCGCTCCGGAGGTCCATACGCAGGGCCGGACCGCTGTACCGGGCCGCCAGCCTCCAGGTGGGGTCCGCGCGGCGGGCGGCGGCCCACCTAAGGAAGCGGATATCGGGCGGAAGTGCAGTGCCTCTGTTGACACCTGGTCGCTCACGCCGGGGACCTGTGATAGCAAGAGCGCGAGAGCGGCCGCCCGCGAGGCCCGCCAGGAATAGTCCCCGGGTACGGGCGGCCCGCAGGGCGGCGTTTGCGGCCCGCACGGTACAGTGGGAGGCAGCCAGTGGGCTAGCGGCCTTGTTTGAGTGCGGAGGGTCGGCGGGTGGCGCAGCGGTTACGGGCGTCGTGCGGGTGTGGGCGGCAGCGGTGGCCATGGCGGAAGCCAGGCTCCAGCAGCTGCGCCGCTCCATTAGCTCCTGGAGCCTCTCTACCATTAAGAAGCCCAAGATCGCTATTCCCAAGCTCAAGACTCCAAAATTCAAAGTTTTCGGCGGGCGCAAGAAAAACAGGTGAGTTACCTGGGTGGGTCAGTGCCAGTAGTCAGTGCCAGCGGTCAGTGCCAGCGGTCAGTGCCAGAAGCGCTCGATCCCTCCTGCCTTCTCGTCATTTTCCTATGATTTTTTTCTTTAATTAAATGGCATTTTATACAATTGTAATGACTGACGGACATGAGAGGTGGTGAGCCCCGACTGAGGGCTTCTGCAGGCGAGCGTAGAGAGCAGCTATTCTCGGCACCACGTGTGCACAGTAACTGGCTAGTTATTATTTTGATAGCAACCACACAGGTTCAGATGGTCCTGCACATGCGCGTGCTTTCTTATTGCAAATAGGTGGTTACTAAAATAAATTGTCCTAGAGAGAGAGAGAGAGAGAGAGAGAGAGAGAGAGAGAGAGAGAGAGAGAGAGAGAGAGAGAGAGAGAGAGAGAGAGAGAGAGAGAGAGAGAGAGAGAGAGAGAGAGAGAGAGATTTAAATAGTTTGAAAAACAGAAGTGTTTTTTTGAAGTGAAGACGACAAATTTGTAAACATATTGTGAAGTCTATCGTTTGAAGTCTCAACCACTGATATAGCAAAGCACTATACAGATCCAAGGAGCTAAACAGAGCGGTCACTGGCCGTAATATATGAGAGCAGCAAAGTCGACAAAGCGTCACAATTAAGCTTTTAATTAAACTAGCATACCGCTAAAAAGATTTCCCTCTTGTCATTGTACCGGCAACACAGTCGTGACGTCACATTCACAGTATGTGACGTCACATACACAGCATATGACGTCACAGCAAATGTAACAATTCTGCATTTTGTTTTACCCTCGGAAGATCACCGTATATTTGCTCCTTGGAGGTCCAGTGCGTATGACACATTGTCACGAGTCTAGATAAGAGTCGGCAGCCCTCAGGTACCTGCTCCTTGGCCTGCTAGTGTCACCACTTCCTCGAGGCTTCGCGATATTTTGGGGACCAACGTGTGCGGCCCCTAACTTTCCTCTCCGCCATACACCGTCGAAGCGCTCAGGGGAATCGTCGGAGCTCTCTGGCAATCGTCGGAGCTCTCTGGAAATCGTCGGAGCTCTCTGGCAATCGTAGGAGCTCTCTGGCAATCGTCGGAGCTCTCTGGCAATCGTCGGAGCTCTCTGGCAATCATAGGAGCTCTCTGGCAATCGTAGGAGCTCTCTGGCAATCATAGGAGCTCTCTGGCAATCGTAGGAGCTCTCTGGCAATCGTCGGAGCTCTCTGGCAATCGTCGGAGCTCTCTGGCAATCGTCGGAGCTCTCTGGCAATCGTCGGAGCTCTCTGGCAATCGTCGGAGCTCTCTAGCAATCGTCGGAGCTCTCTAGCAAACGTCGGAGCTCTCTGGCAATCGTCGGAGCTCTTTGGCAATCGTCGAAGCTCTCTGGCAATCCTCGCTGGTAAACATATAGACAGGGACGCCGTAGTTCACGATGCACATGTAAAAAATCTGTATTATCCCAGTCAGAAATTGTCTGTCATTTGTACTCTTGTTCGGGGACTCTATAAGGGGCTCAGTGCTGGCCAGCCCTGTGTTGTAAACCCGAAATCAACGTAACTCTAAAACTTCTTACCTAATCTTCCTTAGGGCTAACTATACATAATCCCCTAATATACAATATCATTAACTTATATTTGATACAAAAAGGTGTTTTTTCTATGCCATGTGAAACACTAATTCTGTCAGTAGGTTGCTAGGTTAATTAGTCATAGAAATATTAACGAGGCTAATTTTTTGCTATCACTACTAATGTTTTAACATCACTTATTTGCTACAGTATTCGTTACTTTAACAAAATGTTATTATAAAGACGTTAAAATTAGAATAATAACAATAATATTAACTGTGATAATAATATTAATTATTAATTGAAGCAGAAAACATTTAAAATCCAGTATTGTTCGTACTGTAAATTTAACGTAAAATTTGTCTCTGTCTGTCTGTGTAGTTTAACAGTGAGCTTTATAGCTCTTAAAGATATCAGAGTGAGGGGAGTGCTTATAGAGCTCTGTTGGTCTGTCTGTCAGAGAACACGAACGATGGGAAGAAGATATTAGGGTCTATATTTATTTAAACTTGTGCGGAACAAAATAAATAAATTATTTTGGGATTAAAATGCTCAAAAGTAAACCGAATGAGTTACACACTAACACACACTGGCACAGATGTCTACTCGCACGCACACGAACACACACGAACACACACACACACACACACACACACACACACACACACACACACACACACACACACACACACACACACACACACACACACACACACAAAATGATGTGATCGTTGTATACTTTGAACTGCTAAACTTTGTATTTGTAAATTTGATAAAGTGACGAATTCAGTGCAAGAAGGATCGGTACTATGGGCTCCATCTTGTGTTTAGTATATGTCACCTGCCTGGCAGTTGATATTTGCATCTTCATATCAATATTTGTAGATTATGAGCGAAATCAGAACAAACGAGGACTGTAATACTATATAAGAGACCTTGACACACTGGAGAGGTGGTCGAAGAAATGATTTCTAGATTTTAACCCAGCCAAAAGGAAAATTATGTGGGTTGAATCTCGAGTGAAAATAGCCGTGCACCATTATAAAATACAAAGGGTGGCCAGATTAATTCCTACACCAGAAAAATTAAATTGAACTGACATTAGTCATAAGTAAAAATCTACTGCCACCAGAGGACCACATTAGCAAAATAACGTCAACAGCCTATGCCACTCTGGCCAATGTCTAGGTAGCCTTCCACCCCCCCCCCCCCAAAAAAATGGTTAAAAGAGCCATCCGGGTCTTATATAATCTACGTTAGACACAGCCTTGAGTACGCAGCCCCCGTTTGAAAAATCGCAAAATAAAAGTACAAAAGATCCGAAGATATGAAACAAGGCTGCGTACCTCACTCCATAACGCTGGGGAGTGAGGTACGAGGAAAGACATTGGGAACCGGAGCTCCCCACACTAAAGAAGAGGATGAATAGGAGACATGTTAGCGATATACAAAGAGTTTAAAAAGAATTGACAAAAATATACAAAATTAGATTGGCCAAATCGAGGAACACCAGAACGAGAAGGCCTGAAATGGGTCAATGAGATGTTGGAAGTGTTGCATTGAGTTGTTAATAACGTTAGACGTTGAACGATTAAATTCATAATGTGAAAAAGAAGGCGTGTACTGAGCCGTTGTATTGACCTCAGACTGTTCTGAATGCTGTTGTTTAAGATTCGCTACCTGGAACACAAAGTTCCAAGTAGCACGGGCTATGGGACTATTCTGAAGGCAGAGTTAGGAGCCGCTGGCCGACCTTTATAGGTGAGTAGATATAGGTGAGTCACGCAGACAAATTTAAAGCTAGTTGCTTATTTTGTCTTTTCGTTTGCGCTCGTATATTTTATATATATAATATATATATATATATATATATATATATATATATATATATATATATATATATATATATATATATATATATATATATATATATAACTTGGTTCATTGGTATATTCATAGTTTCTTGGCGGCTGGTTTAGGTAAATGCGTTGTCAATATATTTTAAGTGTGGCTTAGGGGGCAGGTGTGAAACGATAAAGTATGCGCTGCTGATTTCTCCTCAGATATGTTAGTCTCTGCTGCTCATTTAGTGACCGTAGTTCTCCTCTATTCTGTATGAGTTTATCTTTTTTCGTGTCTCCACTCTTCATCTACCGTCTCTCTGCCTCTCCTCACTCACCCTGGCCGGCCACACTCAACAGAGGAATCTCACGGGTCGTTTCCAACTTCGTTAGGTCCTTGTGGCGCCCCTTACCGGACTATAGCAGGCTAATAACCCATTGAAGATGGTGTTGTTGTTGAGCCGGCCCGAGCGGCTTGGCTTCAGTCCACCCAACTCTAATAATTTGGCACCACGGCGTCGCCTGGGTGCCAAGCTGGCCCTCGTGGCACCTCAGTGTCCGTTAGCGCCGACGTGACTTGCACCATCGAGGCCACCAAGCAAATCTATCAATATGTGGACTGTTACAATAGTGCCAGGCATGATGGAGCTGGGTAATGGGCACCGCTGTGGCACCAGACGTGCCTTATGGGTGCCAGACCTTCGGCACTGGCCCTCGGATATTAGAATGAAAGTACGAATATTGATTTAATATTACCGTATGTAATATGTAATCATTGCGATCTCATATGTTCAGTTTTCTCGTTCAAGTAAGCTTAATATATAGAAATATATTATACATAGTAAATTTACAAATACTACTCCCCACATGTCGTTCTCTAAAATGAACCAATGTTGTCTGGGACGCAAGAATTTACTATTGTCTCATCTACAATTTTTTTTAAACTAACAATACAGTTTTTGGCCTTTTAAACCCACAACTAACAATCAATTAACGCGCATACAATATAGAATTGAAGTCTCACAATTACATCTCAAATTGAAAGCCGCTATCTTGACATTCTTACAGGAATTTAAAAAGACTTGGTATAAAGGAGTTTATGAACACCTGACTTGCTTCAACTCTAGTTATTATTTCTCTTTTTTAAGTGAAGGAAAGATCGATGATCACTGTCCTCTGGTGTGACACACTGGAGGAGGCAAGGAAGAACCTCAAGAAAGTCCCACACGTGAATGTCCTGCTTTGGCTTACACTTGAAGCCAAATCAGGGTTTTAAGCATTGCCCCCCCCCCCAGCATGCGCCCTGGCTAATGGTCCTGTAGTTCAACGTCTAATGCTTCTCCTCAAAGACACAATGAAATCCCATTAACGCGATAACATAGGGGAGTGCATAGGTGAGGGAATGCTTAAAACCTTGATTTGGCTTCAGTTGCAAGCCTCAGGAACCCTTGAGGATTCAGTGGAATCCCAGATTACACTGCTTTTTGACTATGTCGTGGCGTAGTGGTCTAGGGCAGTAGCTTGAGAGTACCAAGTGAAGGGGTTCGAATCCTCATTATGGCGCCTACAGATAATATTAATAATAGGAACTA